TGCATTGGTGTCAACGCTGAGAACTATGCAGAGGAGTTTGACCCCAGCACCATTTTCGGGGGATGTAGGCTTATGGAAGCTAGAGATGCCACCAAGAAAGAACAAATTGGCCAGTCCTTGTGGGAACAGGAACAGGGAGCAATACAAGCACAATCAATTGGAAAATAGATAAGAAAATATCCATATTTTGGTTAGGAACAATGTGCAATTTCTTCTCCCTTAGAGACAAAAGCTAAATACAAAGAGCCAAAGAGAACTACAAAAGTTTTTACAGACTCGTGACACAAAACCTCCAAAGTCATTAGAGGAATTGAAATTATTAGACACTGGGTGAGGGTTCATTAATTAATGTCCTTCTAGTTTATGAATGGGCTCACATGCAGGGTAGAACAACTAACTGGTCTCCACATTTGGTGAGGTTGAGAAGAAAGTAGACATCACAGAGCATAGAGAATAGGAGGCTGACTAACCTGAGAAGAAAAGGGGTAAAAACTTATGAATAGTAAATACGCCATAAAGTTTACCCGAGAAACATGGAACGTTCATTTTTGTGTTTTCTGTAATAAATTAAACTGCTTATACAATTGATGTAATGTCTTGGGACCTTATTTCCTCCCATAAAATAGGTGTATTGAGTTAACAGTGTATGACCCACAGGAAAACAATGTTATGACTATAAGCATGGACTTGGTATTCAAATTTTGTCTCTGCCATTAATACTATTGTATGAATTTAGATGCTGTCTATGTCTTGGATTCTTCAGACGCACAAGTTTATTGGGAAGATTATGCAAGTGAATGCCTGGAAAACACAGCATAGTGCTTCACTCAACTATAATTAGCTATTGTTTGTCTGCAATTTTTTTTTTATACAGGGTCTCCCTGAAGTCCCAACTGGCCTGGAACTTACATTGTAAGATCTACCTGCCTCTGCCTTTCAGGTGGTGGTATTAAAAGTGTGGACCACCATACCTGGTTTCAGCCTTTATTTTTATGTGCAACTTACAAGATAATTGTGGCTGATTCAACAGGAAAGAAAGCTTGCTTTAAGAGTATTAGATAAATTTCGATTTTGAGAACCAAGTTCAACTTCTGATATAAACTCTCCAGAGTCATTATTGGTAAAAATATAGGAATGAAACCCCAAACCACATCACAGATATGTAATGATAAGGAAATGTACTCACCATCACAAAGTGTTCAACACTGAAGTTTGCTCTATTACAATTTCTGTGCCAGAATTCAATTTGATTTTAATATAAAACCATCACAGCCATCCTAGCTGCAAGGGAAGCTAGAAAAGCATGCAGCTGACATTTTTAAATCATCCAGGAGAAGGTAGTTTTGCCCATATTCTCCAAATGTACAATAAATTCAGATGCTTGGTACACAAAATAAACTCAATTATTTTCAGCACTCATTCTAAAGCTTATTTCCCAGAATGGTCTATTGAAGAACATTATCTTGTTTTATCCAAGATCAAGAAAATGGTAGCCATAATCTCTTGATGACCATATGGTTTCATCATGAAGGACTTGAAGTATCTACAGGAGAGGAATTTCCAAATACTCTTGACATAAACTGAGATACTAGATAGGCTTGGCATTCAATACTCAAAGACAGTAGATTCATAGTTAGAACTGAATCTTTAATTTTAATTAAACAGTTGAAGATTTTCTACCTGTTTACATGAGTGTAGACAAAAAATAATTTCCAAATCTAATTGGAAAGGTAAAAGTTCCCAGAGTTTAATAAACATCCTCTAATTTAAAAATATCTCTGAAAAAAATCTCTAGTCTGTTTATCTAAACTATTAATATAATTGGGTTGCTGAGGAGACTGGGCCCTGAGGGCAAAAGCCAGTGGGGAAAGGAGCAGTTTTAATCAGGCTTTATCTATTTTAAACCCCTCAACTATAAAAATAGTGCCTGAAATATCAGCAACCCAAAGCCCACTGTCCTTTCTGAGTAATGGACAGCTGTTCTGACCCTGTGACTAATACTGACTGCCTGCCTCAAACTGGTCTGGACTTATATTGCTGGTGCATTCCGAGCCTGGTGGGTGGCTGGAAGGGCAAATCCTCCCTACTGCATGGACTTTGGGGCATCTATGTACCCGTCAGACTCTGCAATCCTCAAAGACTATTATTGGGAAATTTTTTCACGTGTTTATAGAAACCATAAAAACACAATTAATAAGCTTCCTAACCAATGAGTTTGGCTCATAAACAAATGAATCTCTTATACCAATGGCATACACAAATTGTTTAGGGACATTTTTAGCAATTATAGCAATCAAGAAAATTGGAAGGAAACTTAAAAAGGTCAGTCTACTCACTGCTTATTTATTTTCAAACTATCAAGTGAAGTTTGTCAAATCAAAAATATCCAGAACATTCACTTTGTTATGATGGGCTATAAGCTTGATTTCCTCAACATGAAGGGTAAAAATACTGCCAGATTTATGCTTCTATCCTAATAATCAATCGAGTACTATAAACATCTAAAATGCACAGAAAAGAATGCCAGAGACCACCATCCCTCAAACAAACTGAGAGATTTAGCCAGGGAGGTTGGTGGTCAGCATTAGCTATATGCTCTCTCTGCCAACAATAAATATGAGATACGTTCTCCCCCAGATTTAGTGTAATCGAGCGACTGGAAATTGTAAAGAATTGTAAGTGAAGCAGGGAGTTTTCTGTTTAAATACAAGATAATTTTTTTCATGCATTAAAAGTATTTTAATGTTTACATCTATTGTAAGTGCCTAGGCTTCCCTACATCAAGGCAGAAATATGTAGGGATTAAATTGATAAACTCGGATGTCCTAGGTTCAGATTCTGGATCTCTTACATAACAACCTGTGGCCTCAGCACTGACTCTGATCTTGGTGTCTTCTGTATAATGAGATGGTAGTGGTCTCTGATGCATGACACTGCTATTAGGATGAGGATGGCACTTGGCATGCAGGACATGATATCTATGTACTGGTTAGAAATTCAGAAAACTAAGCCTCTACTGTCTCTGCAAATGGTAAATTTATATTTCTAGGAAATTCCTGGCTAAGATATGGATACTGAATTCTTGAAGAAATGTGTTATTGTTTTCCTAAAAGGAAACAAATTTCATTTCTCAGGTTTGTTAGTGGTATCAAAGTTTCCTGTTAGATAATTCTTGACAAATATAGGATAAGAAAAAAATGCTAAGCATTCTATAGGCAAAGTTTAGAAGACTCAGTGAGAAGAAACACACACATTTGTCTGAAGCAACAAGTAATCAAGGCAATATAGAAGAGTCATCTGGCATTCTCTTTTCTTATTATTTAAGCAACATTATACAAATTATTACAAATAAAAAAGTGAACCTGACCACAGACATCTTTCAAATACTGTATACTGTGATCCAAAGAGCAGTTGAGCAAACTCATACCAAATGATTAAAGACTAAATGTGGTGCAGATATAGTTTAATAACGATATTATAAGGTACATTACTTTGTTTTTAAATAAACAGTTATCTTATAAAACAATGTCTTTAAACTAAAGTATACCTTTTAAAAGTATACATAGAAAATATTTAGAAAGGCAGATTGTTTTTAACAGTAAGTACTTTTCAGGATGATTAGGGTAATACATTAGGATATTTTTCTTTTTACTCTGTACATTATGTTTATTCCCCAGCATTGTATATCATAACACAAAACTAACTAATGTATTCATTGTGAATCTAGTCATGAATTCTGATATTTGGTTCATTATATTTTTGTTTCTTTGAAAAAATCACAATAAAGTGTAATGACCTAAAGTATAAATGACCTAAAGTGCAATGTACTTTGTTTATCTTCCCCAGAAAATGAACTGTTACAAATAAACAGTGGTGGATTGTGCCCATACTCTGGTGGTTAACCCTTAGAGAAGCAGATAGTTGGCATTAGAGAACGATGCCAACGTCATTCCTCTCCAAAAGAACATTTGTTAGGGCAAGAGAAAAAAATAGAAGTTAGTTCTATTTGGAATGAGAACATAATTGCTGCCCACATAAAGACCCAACATTTGTAAACACATCTTTCTGTCTTGTCAGCTTTAGAAACAGATTTCAGTTCCTTGGTAGCTATCCCCCAAATTAGCTAGTTTGCTTCTCCAAATGTTAATCTTCATATGTTTCTATTTAAGTGGTCTCTATATTGCCTGGCTTGGCTTAAGAAACAAATTTAAGAAGGGAAGAAAGGAATTAACAACAGCTGAGTATTGATCACAGGCAAAGAGCCATGCCCTGCCTGTTTGAGCATCTCATCCTCTAGACAAAGACTTATAGAACCCTTATTTTACATATGAGAAAACTGAGGCTCTGAAATATGGTCTTCCCGATGTTCCACTGATCTGATAGTAAGGACCCAACTCCATGACCTTTGCCACTGTATCACACAACCCTAAAGCTAAATCAGAGCCCAGCTCTCAACTAGTCATGTCTTGATCTGATCTGACTTTGATGAGTTTATGTAAGAGGAAAAAAAAAAAAAAAACTCCTTAACAGTAATGACAGTAGGTCTTATGTTAGGTATTTACCAGAGTAAAACGACACTTTAAAAATAACTTTTTAAAACAAAAGGAAGAGGATACAAAGTCACTGACTTAAGGCTCTTTCCTTAAATCTTAGGTGGATTCTGAATTGCTCCTTGCAGTAGGGAGCATATTCCAGCTCTAAAACGTGGTTAATGAGAAATAAATCCTGTACAGAAGATATCCTTGAAAAAACAACTTCTTGCATTGGTTCAGCACTTTGCAAATTTTAACAGTATTTATCTCAAGCAAGCCTTTGAAGCAGAGAATTATTATATTCACATAAAAGTTTTGAACTTTGTCCTCTAGCTAGTCGATTACTTGACAATGATGAATATATTTTTTAACTAATCCTTATCATAAAATGATTTGAAAAATAAGGAAAACAACTGAATAGTTTATTGTTTCTTCTGTTCCTCACACACGATCCTCCCTGAACTGCAGGAAAATGGACAAAGAAAATATGGTGGTCCTCCCCCAGGCTGGGGTGCTGCACCCCCAGAAAGGGGCTGTGAAATTTTTATTGGAAAACTTCCCCGAGACCTTTTTGAGGATGAACTTATACCCTTGTGTGAAAAAGTGAGTACAAATTTAATGGGGTTTTTTGTTTCATTTTGTTTTGTATCTTTCCAAGAAAAAAAAAGATTCAGTTTGCTTTTTTTTATGTTTTTAAAATCTGTATGTGTATGATGTGCATGTATGTGTGTTCATGTGACTGTGGGTATAGACACCAAGGCACCCATACGGAAGTCAAAGGACAACATTGAGTATCTACCCTCACCTCTACCTTGTTTGAAGTATGGTCTCTTGTTGTTCGCATGAGAGACGAGCTGGCTCGTGAGTGTCCATGGATTTTCCTCTCTTGGTCTTCCATCCCACTCTGGGAGCACTAGGGTTATAGACACATGTTACTGCATCTGGCTTTACATGGGTTCTAGGAAGACAAAATCAGTTCCTCATGCTTTTGTGATAAGTACTTTACCCACTAAGCTCCCTCCTTTTTACTCCCATCCTTCCTAGTTAATAATAATTCTCCTCTAAGTCCCATTCCTCAAACATACACAGAGTTAAAATCATTCCTAGCTGTTAATGACTGTTCCCTTATTACTACTGCCTTTACTCAGCTCTTCCTCCTGTTACTGACAACTTGAACTACCATTGCTGATGACACTCAAATTCATATCTCATCTCCAAGTCTCTCTACTGGCATGGTTGACTCACTGAAATTCTATATATCTAACAATCTAGAACAGTATACTATTCTGTCATCAATAAGTTGTTGCTCCAACTTGATATTTTAATATGACTTTATAAAATGCAGCATTTTCACATAAAAGTTGTATATATTTGTTATGGCTTAAATGTGTGTCTATACATATAGATTCAAATAAAATTTTCTTCTGCAAGTAGAATTGATTAACTTAATGCACGAAGACAGTTAAGAACATGGTTTCTCAATATCCTTAAATAATTACTAAAGAATAAAAATTTCCAACTTTAGTTCAAATAATATCTTAGAATTCAAAAGTTATAGAGAATACAATGTTACAATTTATTTTAATACTTTATCAGGTGGTTTTTCTCAACAAGGACTTTCCTGGAAATTTTAGTAAATATAAGAATTTGGCTCTTCCCCTAAATGACTAAACCAATTGTGTTCCTGTGCGTGAATGTGTGACTCAGACTTGGATTGAGAACCACACCTAATTTTATACGTATAATCCCAGATGTCATATGGACAAACTACAGGGAATAAATCCCATAAAAGTCTTTTATTCTTAGCCTGAAATGAGAATCGTTAGACACCTGGAACAGGTAAAATATGTTCACTTTTCACAATAAACCCAGAAGACATGGATGTTCATCCATGCATACTCCAGAACTGGGGAGGGTGAGGCTAAGCAGATGGCAACCAAACACTAAGGTAATAGTATAGGATGGAACCTATCCCCATGTATGTCCAGTGTATCTATTTGTGTCACCCTTCTTACAGCCAAGGATAGTAAACTGCTTAGTCTGGATCACTAAAGATAATTGGAGTTCAGGAGGGAATAAGACATGGATGGTCAAGCAGAACAGTGATGGCCAAGGAGAGCAAGGGCTCGTTTGCTATGAAGTCCTGCACCCTCTATCAGCTGCACTGAGGCAACCATTTATTTTCAGCCTAGAAACTGATAAACTAAGAGCACTCCCCAGGCCACCTATGAAATACAACATGATGCTGTGGCAGTGGGGAAAAGACAGACAAGAAGTTAGTTTAGCAAGGTCCAAAATGAGTATTCCTGGTTCCTATTTTAAACATCAGTGATAGCGTGGAACCAAGTAAAGGTCAAACCATGGAGACTTTGGAAGCCAATTTAAAGGCATGGACAAATCTATCAGGAAACTGTACTTCTGATGACAAGGCATTTTTCTTGTCCCCAAGACATTGCATAAATCTCCAGATAATTATGTGACAAAAGGTCACTTGCTCAGCTGAAAGCATATCCTGTTAGCTGAGGCTGAAATACCATTTGTGTATATTTTCTTTATTTAGTTTCACTTTTCCCATGATTCAGATAATTAATCTGAACCCAGCATAAAAGTCTGCAAACATTTCCACATGGATGCAAATGCCAAACACGGCAGGAGGCAGAATATAGAAAGCACTGTGTGTGCCTGTGCGTGCATGTGCGTGCGTGTGTGTGTGTGTGTGTGTGTGTGTGTGTACCCATGCACTCTCGTGTGTCTGCATGCCCATTGGATGTAAAATATATAAATATGATTTTCTGTTTATATTAATTACAGATTGGGAAGATTTATGAAATGAGAATGATGATGGATTTCAATGGCAACAACAGAGGCTATGCATTTGTAACTTTCTCAAATAAACAGGAAGCCAAGAATGCAATCAAGCAACTTAATAATTATGAAATCAGGTAAAAGTTACATCTTCTAGATTAAAATTGAATCTGAAGATGTACCTGTATCAGTTTTCCTATCAATTTTATCTAATACAGTACATGCACAAGGTAACCAAGCTAGAAAAGAGATGCTAGATCTTTCTCTGCTGAAAATTAACCTCACTCAGCACTTATTTAATCTTAATATATGAGGTGCCAAAGTTCAGAGAAATAAAATTCATTAATTAACTCCTTTCATAAATATGTAAAGGATCTGTTCAAAGTATTAGAAATATATCAAGATATCCTCTGTTCCCATATAAAACATATAAAAATATGTAAAATGACATGGAAACATAAAATCATGGACAGGGTAAGGTTGTGTGAGACGATGTGACTTGAATTTGGTGTTTTTAAGAAACTACACTCTGGAAATAAGAAAACGGAAACAATCTCTGAGAAAGTGAAATTTGATCTGAGATTTGAATAAAAAGTTCAGCCAAGACAATCAGACCCAAAACGAGGTTAGTCCAAAAACAGAAAAAAATTAGAAAACAGATAGCAAGTATAAAATTCCCAAATAAAAAGAAGTATGATGTCTTCTGTTTGAAAACCAAACAAGAAGAGTGTTCCAGAAAAGCAAAGAGAGAGAAGAGGGTTGAAGGCAGTACATTTAGAGAACATTACACTGTCTGAAGAAGAATCGGAATTTGTTTAAATCAAAAAGGGAAAGTGAAGGCGGATTGTAATTAGATTAATGTACTAACGCATCACCCTGGCTGTTGGGTAGCCAACAGACTAAAGCAGAACAGCAACGAAATGAAGGAAACCAGAAGAAGACTGCTCCATGGTCTAGACCTAGACAAGGGATGATGGTGATTTAGGTGAGAAGTCACAGCAAAGATGGCAAGAACTGGGCATACCAAGGAAGCATAAAGGCCACAACTGCTAGATTTGGGGTGTATAGAGCAATGGTATTCAAAATTTGAGGAAATACATAGGATTTGGGTCCAAGTGTCTGTGGGAGTGGGAAAGCCATGGAGATAGAAAGACCTGGAGAAACAGAAGCACTTGAAACACTCTATTCAAGGGACTTGGCCCTGAAGACGCTCAACAGACACCCCAGGGGAGATGTGGGGTGACTGCATGAGAGTGGAAGCAGGAGAGGGGCCCAGTTACAACATAAATTGTGCATCAATCAAATATAGATGGTGTTTAGAACCAAGGGACCATAAGAGGGTGCCAGGACATAGCTAAGGCTATGTAACCAATATGGATTTTTTTAATATTTTATTTATTATTTTTATTTTATGCACATGTGTAAATGCACCCATGTTGTGCAATGCCAGCAAAGGTCAGAAGTGGGCATTCAATCCCCTGGAACTGAAGGTATGGACAGTTGTTAACCACCATGTGGGTGCTGGGAATCAAACCCGGGTCTTCTGCAAGAACAACCAGTGCTCTTAACTGCTGAGCCATCTCTCTAGTCCCACCAGCATGTTTTTATAAAGCTCTCTGAGTTCTGAAAACTTGACTTGGAACAGAAGTCTGCCATAAATCATTTCTTAAGGGAAGCCATCTGGGGAAAAGATTGATAATAACAAAATTTGGGGAGGGTCAACCATGCTTCACTGAGAACTAGCAAGTAGTTTAGCCTCTCTGTGTCTCAATTTCTTCATCTGTAAAATGGAGATGCCTATTTCATAGGTCTAATTGTGAAGATTTTTATATGCTTAATACAGTGTTTAGGACATAGTAACAAATTGACAGATGTTAAAAATTATCAGAGTTCAACTCTGCAATTCCGTTTTCTACATTTATCCCCTTCCTGAAATGTGGATGGACTTTAAAATTGACAGAATCTTAAACTTGATGATGGAGGAAGAGTACATTTCCCACCAAGAATTTTTTCCTCCTTCTTATAAGGAAGTATAATAAATCATTATACTTCCTCATAATTCTGTGAATCAAAAAATGAGATCATTTTTCTTAAATTCTTTAGCTACATGAAGAAAGGCACAAATGTGTCCACTGCTACTGCCTGAGCAAGTCAATTCCAAGATCAGTCTAAGAGTAAATACAAAGGGGCCTCCTGTCCCACACATGCCTCTACAGGCCCAAAAGAAATCTGCATAGTGTATAGAAGACTGGAGTCAGAATTGGGAGCCCAGGAGGCGTTTGTCCTTTTGGAGAAATCCTTGACTTCTTTGAACAACACTTTTATCCTTAGTGCATGATCACACCACACAGAGATGTTCTGAACATTTATCATACAAAATAATGTGCACTAAAGTGTTTGGAAAGGACTATACAAAACCATAATTTAACCCTACTTTGCAATATCATTGTGATATTGTTTCAGTGATCTGAAGATTCCCTATCCCTTGGTCTTCCATGAAATCTGGATATACTAGCAATAAAAACTACCCTGAAGTGGCTTTGAGTTGAAATGTATGTAGAATCAGCTATGTAAGCAATTGGGAGTTTGTTGTATCTAATCAATACATGGTTGCTTACTGGGGCCTGCCAATACTTCTGAAAATAGAGTATCAAGGGGTTAGAGAGATGGCCCAGTGGTTAAGAGCACTGGCTGTTCTTCCAAAGGACCCAAGTTCAGTTCCTAGTAATTGTAGCTGACAACTGTCCACTAACTCCAATTCCAGGGGATCCAATGCCTTCTTCTGGCTTCCATGGGCACTGCAGACACATGGTGTACTTAAATACATGCAGGCAAAATACTCATACAGATAAAATAAAAGTAATAAATAATTATAAAATATAAAATAGAGTATCAAAAATAAATAGCCAGTCTGCCATGGTGGCTGATAATTAACGGTATCATCAACGAATTTCAGTGTCTTTTCTATTAAACAAAGATAAAAATAGACCTATATCACAAGATGCTGTGGAAGATTAAGATAAAGCATACAAACCTCTGTACCACACAGATATCAGGTGCTATGCAAGTTTGTGAGATTGGTGAGGGAGGAGGAAGGAAAAGATGAGGAGGAGACATATGTTGAAGAATGTGGAAAGAGAGAATGACTACAATCTCAGGAAAATCTCCAGTTAGAGTCAGAACCAACAGAAAGGCACAGAGATACTCGACAAATTAGAGGGTGGGAAAACTGCAACATAAACTTGACTGACTAGAGACCCCAGAGCCAACCTGACTGCGGCTTCTTTGCCTTAGTTCAATCCTGCCAGGGAGAAACGTTTCTTCCAGAAAAAAGCAATGACCTTCACTTTGCTGTCAGCCACCATTTCTCAGGGGATGGATAAGGCTCTTACCCAGAAAAGGCCCACAATTATCACATCATCTTCCTCCCCATCAAATATTCACTGAACATCCTCTAAATGCCTGGCTTCTAAAGTCATTAAAGTCATGTCCTCAGCTTGTAAGAGATGGATTTTTGTCTCCAGGCAGTTCTGGGAAAGGGTGTTGACAAGCCACATACATTTAGAAATAAGAATTAGACATTTTAGACTCCCCCTGCTGGTAACTGATGCCAGATCCCTAACCATCAAAAATAATATCATTTCTAAGCAAATATAAAAGAGAGGCATTTGTCCTTTTTAAAGTGAAATTTAAAATACATACAACTGGGGGGGGGAGGCTAGAGATGTAGTTCATTTGATAGAGTGCTTACCTACAATGCACGAAGCCTATGGTTTAATCTCAGCACCATATAAACCAGCGTGATAGCCTACCACTTAAGAAAATGAACTAAAGGGATCAGGTCATCCCTGGCTACATTGTGAATTCAAGGCCATCTTTGGACACATGAGGTTCTGTCTAAATAAAATAAAACAATAAAATAATAAGATCACTTTATCGGTCTCCCCACCTCCCAAGAAACCAGTCTTTGGAAAATGAGCACCAGAATAAGACAGGCTGGTCAAGTCTGGTCTTGTCCTTCTTTCTTCTGCAAAGTACAGGAAATCACCAGACAGTAGCCCCAGCCTGGTCAGAATACCTGACCCATGACCAAGAGCCACTACTTCCAAAAAAAATCAGATCAATCTCCCATTCACCTAGAAGAGAGATTTTATTCATAACTAACAAGGAGTTCTTTTTAAGGCTACCTCATCTGTTTTTAATAACTTGGTGTTATTTACAAAAGCCACCAGCCTATACTTAACATATACAAAACATCAAAAATCATCGAGTTTAATAGTTTAAACCATTCTTCCACAACCCTGGTGCCTGAGATAACTATGTTGGCATTTTACTGTCTTTCCAGGTTCTCTATTTGTTTTTAATCAAAATCAACTTCTCATATTTATTTTTACTTTTTTAAAAAAGAAACTGAGTAACATATTATAAAGTATTTTGTTTTACTACTTTTGACTACAGAGCATTCTGTAGTATAAAAGTCCATCTTCTGTTTACTAGAGATTCTCAGCCAGGAGCAACACCACTCACTCAAAAGGACATTTAGAAACGGGCAGACATTTTTGGATGACCTGGCAACACTTAGTAATAAAGAACCAGGGGTAATAAGTATATATAACATAGTATACAATGAGGAAGCTTACAGGCACAGGAAATGGTATCTCAAAACAGCTGCCTGAGACCAGCTCTGCATTGTGAGGCACTGCTCATTTCCAATCTGGGAGAGATTTTAAATAACAGTGGCTATCTTTATACTAAAGCTTGATGCTGCCAGGTATGGTGGCACACGCCTTTAATTGCATCACTTGGGAGGCAAAGGCAGGCGAATCTCTGTGAGATCGAGGACAGACTGGCCTACAAAGCAAGTTCTATGCTAGCTGGGCTACAGGAGTAATGAGTCAGCCAGGGCTACACAGTGAGAACTTGTCTCAAAAAAGAAGAGGAGGAGGAGGAGGAGGAGGAGGAAGAGGACAAGGAGGAAGAGGTTGATGCTCACCTCTGTTTACTAGGGTACATTCCCAAGAGGGGTGTTATTTAATAAAAGATTATGGACACTTAAAACTTATCTAACTTCTACCATTGAAGGCACCCCTCACCTTGCTAATTAGGAAAGTGGAATTAACAGGGATTGAGATCTCGGGGCCAGTTTATCTGGCAAACCTATAAAACCTTCACCAAATCATTTAATTTCTTGGAGTCTCAAGTCCTTCATCTGTAAAATGGGGTAAACACCTATTTTGTTCATTTCACAGGGTCCTTTATATATATTTTTTAAAAAGATGACATGGATATCTGTTGCATACAAGGGACTATTTTATTTTTTATTACATTTTGTTTATTTTGTATGTGTATGCATGTGCTTGTGTGCATGCACCAGGAGTGTGGAGTTCAGAAGATAACTCGCAGCAGTTGGTTCTAGGGTTCCACCATGTGGGCTCAAGGAATCACACTCAGATATCAGGCTTGGCGGCAGATACCATGATTCACTGAAACGTTTTGCTGTCTCTTTATTAATTTTTAAAAAAGTTTTGGGGGACTCATTTTAACAGCAATCATGTCAGAACAGCTTCTCTGTTTAGCTAGAAAAGAAATGAAATATATAGAGAGGTGAACCCCAATGTTGTGGGCAAATAGGTAACATAAGGAGGAGAGACAGATGTAGCAGTCGTCCACCTGGAGTGCGTCAAGAAATGATGAGGTTGGACCACAATTGGTGAGCCCATATCTAGTCTAAAAAGACCAAATGCTACTCACCTCTAGGCTCTACATCTTTTTTTTTCCTAAATTCAAAGTTCAGGGCTGGGTATGTAGCTCAGTGGTAGAATGTTTGTCTGCATGTGCAAGATCCTGGATTCAATGTCCAGCAACACAAAGGGATAAAAAGTCCAGTCCATAATGAAACATCTTTTAATATCTCTAAAGAAATCACACTGTCAAGGCTAGAGAGATGGCTCAGTGGTTAGGAGCACTGGCTGAACTTGCAGGGGACCTGGGTTCAGTTCTCAGCATCCACATGACAGCTAACAACCATCACCCTTTTTTTTACCTCTGCAAGCATTGCAGGACAAGGGTGCACTTACATGCATGCAGGCAATACACTCATACACACAAAATAAAAATAAAGAACTTTTCAACACTTTAAAAAAAAACCTTTGTGCTAATCTTGTGAGTTAACTATTCAGTATTGATTTTACTTTGTATTTGAGAGATACTGCTTTAAAAATAAACTACTTATGAAGAGAGGAAAAAAAATACTGTCACAGAAATATTTTATACATTTGCAACCTCTGTAACCATTCTTAATTACACAGATTCTCACCACTGAAAATTGTTCTTTTCTCAGAAATGGGCGTCTCCTAGGGGTCTGTGCCAGCGTGGACAACTGCCGATTGTTCGTAGGAGGAATCCCTAAAACCAAAAAGAGAGAAGAAATCTTATCGGAGATGAGAAAGGTCACAGAAGGAGTTGTTGATGTCATTGTCTACCCAAGTGCTGCAGATAAAACCAAAAACCGGGGCTTTGCCTTTGTGGAGTATGAGAGTCACCGTGCAGCAGCCATGGCCAGGAGGAGGCTGCTGCCAGGTGAGTCTTTCCTACGGAGAATCTCCTATAACCACTGACTCCCACCTGATCTCATCCTGCCTGTGCTGCGTTCCATACAGAAGGCAGGCCTGAGCTCATGCCCTTTCAGTTTCCCCTGCACATCTTCTGTTAGACTATAGTTTAAGCTCTACATATTTCTTATTTTTCTTAAAGCTGATTCACTTCTGTAAAGATTTCATAGATGTGCTTTGGAAATTTACATACTCTGAATTGAGAGAAATATGAACACCAGCAATCCTATAATGAATCTTAAATGAAAAATCTCCTAAAACTTAAATAAGTCAATCATGGATATATCTTCATAGAAATTAAGTTTTCAGGCTTGTTGGAAGTGGGGTGTATCATCCATTACAATATAGATGCAAGCCTGTGATGCATGGTCCCCAGGGCCACTAAGTGATATATTTTTACTATGATTCCTTAATTTTTTATATCTCTAATTGGAGAGAAGAAAAATTAAAAGTCTCCTGAGACAACTTTGTTAGGTGCTCCAGCTCCATGTGGGCACTAACGTCCAACTGTTGAGCTTAATAAACCACCAAGACATTGCCTGGGTAAGATCAACCCAGGAAAAATGTTTCAAGGTGCTTGGCTTGCTGTAAAATATTAACCGAAATGTACAGGAAGCCAGGTGCTAACATGAATTTATATTAATGTAAGAAAATACCTAGAGCGACAGGTCAGACACATAGAATCAACTCTTCTCATGAAAACTGTGGGAGCCACCAGAGCAAAACCACGAAACATCTGGGTTTATTTTGTCCTTACGCAGTTTTCCCTGATTGCTCTTTTATTTAATGGTGCTGTTCGTGGAACAGAGTCTTGAGCAATCTAGATTAGCACTTTACTGCTCCGTGATGTCCCTAGCCTTGCATATGTGCTTTTTTTTAATGAGCATACAAGGTTATTATGGCATTTTTAAACAAAATGTATTTTAGTAGATCCTCCTTCCCTGCCATCTCCTGTATTTTTCCACCTCTGTTGACGCTCCCTTGTAAGCTCCCCACCCAGCCTCTTTTCCACTTTCATATCATATGAGTCCTTTTGCCCTCTCCCTCCCTCCTCCACACCACTTTTTTACCTTCTTTTGGTCTCCTTACTAAGTTTTCAAGCTTTACCCACATTTATACCCATTTATATACAAACACATACGCATATAGATTGCAAACTACAATCTACAAATGACAGCGAACATGCGGGTTTTGTCTAAGTTTGGTTTACCTTGCTTAATATTATTTCATTTTTCTTTATGCTAAAATAAAATTCTATTGTGTGTAAGTACTGCATTTTCATTATCCATTCACCTGTTGATGGACATTAAGGCTGTTTTGAGTTCCTTGTTACCATGAATAGAGCATCAATAAACACAGATGTTCAAATATTTCTGTGGTAGGATAGGGGCTCCTCTGGGTATATGCCCAGGGATGGTATAGATGGGTCATATGGTGCCTCCGTTTTTATTTTTTTTAATTTTATGTGTATGACTATATTGCCTGCATTATGTAAGTGTACCTGTGTCATGCAATGCCCATGGAGGTCAAAAGAGGGTGTTGGATACCCTGGAACTGGAGTTACATATAGTTATTAGCTGCCATATGGGTGCTGGAAATTGAACTCAAGTCCTCTGCAAGAGCAGTCAGTGCTCTTAATTGCTGAGTCGTCTCTCCAGCCCCATGATTTTAATTTTTTTGAGAAATTTTCATACTGAACTCCATCATGGCTGTACTAGTTTACACTCCTACCCACAATGAATAAGGGTCTCACTTTCCCCACATCCTCACAGCATTTTTAGTCAGATCTCTTGACTTGGGCCAAGTTGTATCTCAAAGTAGTTTGAATTTGCATTTCCCTGAGGATTAATGATGATAAACACTTTTTAAATACTTATTGGCCATTGGTGTTTTTTTATTTTTATTTTTTTTTAGAATTATCTGTTCATTTCATTAGCCCATTTGTTGACTGGCAGTTTGGGGTTCGGAGCACCTCTGTGTGTGTGTGTGTGTGTGTGTGTGTGTGTGTGTGTGTGTTTAATTTTCACAGTTCTTTGTAAATTCTGTGTATTAACCACCTGTCTGATGTATAGCTACACTTCTCTTTCTGTGGCCTGTTTGTTTGCTCTGCTGGTAATTACTTTTGCCATGCAGAAACTTTAAAAATGTCATGTAGTCCCATTTGTTGATTCTTAGGTCTGTCTTGAGTCATTGAAGTTCTGTTCCGAAAGTTCTTTCCTGTACCTCTGTCATGAAGTGTATTCCCTGCATTTTCCTCTGGTGGTTTCAGGTTCCGGATTTAAATCAAGGCCTTGGGTCTGCCTTGAATTGCTTTTGTATAGTGAGAAAGACATAAATCTAAATTTACTCTTTTGAAAATGAATATCCAGTTTTTCCACTACTGTTTGTTGAATAGGCAGTCTTTTCTTCCATTGCATGTTTTTGATACCTTTGTCACAAATTAGGTAGCCATAGGATTGTTAGTTCATTTCTGTGTTCTCTATTCCTATTCTATTCTAGAATTTTTCAAAATTTGGAAAATAGCTTCTGGCTTGAGAAAGATTATACAGCTTCAAAACTTACAAATCTGTTAAGGAGGTGGAGATTCTTCTGTGTTGCTTTCCCTCACAGCTTCTTCATCCTTAATTGCCTAGTGACCCTGATTCTCAATCCAAGGCCTTAGTCAAGAAGCATCCTAAGTCTCTCAGTGACCTGCACTTAATATTTTGCCACCTTATTCATTTTCCCCCTTTGGTAACACCAACCTTTCTACCTTGGAAAAGTTCCCTGTATCCACCCTGTTCTTGGGCACCACTGTAGTACCAAGACTACATCTAAATCTGTTTTTCAAGTCCTTTTTCTATGCCCTCTAGTCCTTCACAACCATGTATTTTATTTCCCAACAGAAATTCTCCTTTCTATCAGGACAGAACCAATGTTCCAGATAACACTATACTCATTTTCATCTCTTTGTTTATAGTATTCTGTCCTCTCCAACAGCTCAGTCAACAGTCAGGGTCTGAGAGCTTCACTAATTAATGGGTAGAGAGATATGAATCTAGAGGGCAATTTGATACAATGTCTATTTAGCAAAATAATAATAGTAGGTTCATCCCTGGTGCCTGGGCACCCCCAACCATGGGTTCTTGGCCAGATTTGCAGTGCCAGGCCAGGCATGTGTTTCCTCCTGTGGAGTAGGTCTTAAATTCAGCCAGAAAATGGTTGCTAACCCCGTAACATTCATGCCACTATTGCACCAATGGGTTTATCCTGCCAGGTCAGTCACCATTACAATTCCAAACAATGAATTTTTTTTTTAAAAAACCCTCAAGTTTTGAATAAAATTTGGAACTCGAGTTGACGTTCCTCCTCTTTTCAGCACTACAACACTGATCTCAACCTCCTGGAATTGAGAATTGAGTGGTAAAAACCAAAGGGGACAAGTGAAGGGAAAAAGCTCTGTGCAAGTGACATAAAGCTCATTGCCTCCTCTGTAAAACTGGGAGTTCCACCTCCCTTCCCTGCTTCCACAAGTTTACAGTAAGAAGGAACCAAGAGGGCCTACAGGAAGCACACAGTATAGTGACAAACATCCAGTAAGTTCTAATTACAGAAGAACAAGAACAGGGTAGTCTTGGGTAGGAGCTACTCTTTTAAGGGGGGCTAAACTTTTTATTATCAATTTTTCTATTGCCCTTATTGAATTAGAATTTTAAAAATATTTTTTCTCTAAACTCTCAAGCTGTCCATGTTCAGACAGAGGATATAGAAAGAACACAGTTGGTCTGAGCCCTGGATCAAGTGTGAGGGACAGAGAACAAACACATAATGCCTGTTCCCATCTACTCATGCTCAAGTATCATTTTGTGTACATCTTCTCGATGGTGGTGCCTGGCTAATATCACAGCACATTCCACTGACAGCAGATACTGTCCTAGTGACCTCTTAATGCTCTGTGGGAGTCAGATTCCATGTCTGAGTCCTAAGTCCACCCTTTGTCTTTCGCGGCTTTCGCTATCTCACCTTAAACAGCTACCATCCCCATGTAAAAGCTGTCCTAGGAGCCAAACATGCTCACTGCTTCCTCATTTCTTTTCCATTTCAAACCACATCCTAATTCTCTTTACACTCAATCATTATAATAAGCCACTAGTAACAGAGAACTCTCTTCTATCCAACTCATATTTATTTAAATGTCTTAAAATCAATAATAACCTCTTTTAGTGGTCTTAGTCTCTCAAGACCTTAAGGGTCAGTTCAATTTAAAAGGCCATCAGTATGAGCTGAGATGATGTCCTGATTCCTAAATAATTAATCATTGTTGTGATCATTGTCAACAGGAAGAATTCAGTTGTGGGGACACCCTATTGCAGTGGACTGGGCAGAGCCAGAAGTAGAAGTTGATGAAGACACGATGTCTTCAGTGAAAATTCTGTATGTAAGGAATCTTATGCTGTCTACCTCTGAAGAGATGATTGAAAAGGAATTCAACAATATTAAACCAGGTATTATATATATATATATATACATATATATATATGACTCCTTTTTAAAATGTACTTTAAAAGCACTTGTGCTTGAGGTCATTCTCCATAGCCTTAAAGAGAATAATTTTTATTTAGCTCTTTCTCATAACTGACTGCAGATTATTCATGTTACTTCCTCATCTTTGAACTAGAAAATGGAGACATATTGTTCTACAGCATTTAGGAATATTATGATTTATATTCATCTCTGTAGTTATTCAGTGAATATACATTTCCTTCTCTAAACCATAAATTCTGTGATTTCTTTTCCTTTTTAATAACCCCTCTGTCCTCACTCAGTCTGTGGGCCTGGGTACAAGACATGCCATGCAAATGTTTACCCTGTTAGTGGATACGTGGTCTAGTGGATACATGCCCCCTACTGTAGGACTAAGGCAGATTTTCCAGTCTCATTGCTACTAACATTTTGGGACAAATCATCCTCGGTGGTAGGCAGATTTCAGGGTGTACAGCAGAGTTCAGGCTATTCAGCAGCATTCAAGGCCCCTTCCTACCATATGGCAATAGCAACCTCCTGTAGGTAACAGCCTGTAGACATTTCCATATATGCCCTAGGGGTAGGCAGCATTCCACCAGGTGAGACCCACTCGTCTAAACAGAATATACTTGTGACTTTGGACATAGAATAAGGAAGTGACAATCAAAGGAATCCCCCAGTCATGAAGAAAAAGGAATAGAAGGTCAACGCCAGGGGATCGGTAGCTGCTGTTCACCTGAAAAGTACTTTTCAGTTTCAATGCCAAGCCAGAAGACTAGCTCTCTTCCTCTTTCTTCTCACTACAAGACATACAACACTGCTTTACACAGGTAAAGCATTTCACAAAGCAGTATCCAATGGAACATGTCCCAAAGCCAGTTCAGAGCATCAACTCTACAAACTGTTAGAGGTTACTAAGAAATGCCCACCATGGTCAAATCAGTCTGTAAACACCAGATTTTGCTAACTAAAGCACATTTCTTTATCGTGGGATTTAAATTGTTGGTTTTCTAGCACACTTGAAAGTCTCCAAGATACAGGATGCCTGACTTCCCAAGTTTTGGAACATGGGCAATCCTCTTTTTTGCAAGACCATATTGTGGGATTAGTATATGTGGGGACATATGCAACAACAACAGCCTGTTTATCACAGTAACATCTTCCTATGACTTGGAATTTCTCAGGCTTCTTGAAAGTCCTATAGGACAGTGGTAAGGATGGGTTATAGAGCTGTTGTTAAACCTTCCGAGAATATTCATATGCTCAGGCTTTCTGTTTCCAACTCTAGGTGGAAACAATTTTACAGGTATGACAGAATGATAGACTTTTGATTCACTCTACAGATAATTGATAAGGATACTATTTTTCTCTTTTTAAAGATTTCTCAAACATTTATCTTCCTTCAGCCTCGGGAATTCTGCTTTCCCTGACATTTCGGATTATGGCGTAGTTACTTAGCAACATCTATGAATCCACGGCTAATACAGAAACTGCAAATAATCTTCCACTTCACCATATACTAGGAATTATAGAGGTCATGTTCACATCGCTTGATGCTGATTCATCACAATGACCTTATAATATAGGATCCTTTGCTAGATCCTTTACTACTTCTGTTATTTTCTAGAAAAGAAAACCAGAGCCCAGAGTAGTTAGTCACACAACTAGCAGCTGTCAGAGCCCATATATAACAACTCTGAAACCATGCCCATCCTCATTCCCTTCACCCCTCCATTCATGCAACTGTCATTCTTTCAGTAGCTCCAATGTGCCAGGCACTGTGGGAGGGATTAAGACATGAGCTGTGTGTGGAAGGAATTTAAGATGTTCCAGGAAAGTAACAGCTAAGACATCCTACTCTTGGAATGCAGAGTAAAGTCATGTTGGAGGGAAGTCACATGTAGGCTGAGTGCTGAAAGTTGATGCAATTGTAAGCACAGCAACTGGTGTCTGTTTTGTGTATCTCACCCATTTGGGTTTGGGGTTTGCTTCCTCAGCATGAACAATACTTATTTTCCACCCACATTAAAATAGTCTTGGTCAAGGCAAAAACTGTTTTATAAAATCTGATGAAAGTAACATCTATCTAAGAAACACCAAAAAGAGCAGGAGCCAGCGCGGGCTGCAATAGTGAAAGAAGAGGAGGAAGAGGAGGAGGAGGAGGAGGAGGAGGAGGAGGAGGAGGAGGAGACTTGTAATCCCAACATCATGGAGACTGAAGCAGGATGATCATTAGTTTGAGGAGGTCAGCCTGGGTTGTAGAGTAAGATCCCATCTCAAAATAAAAAGACAAACCAGAAAAATGGAAGAAAATTTAGTTAGCATCAAATTTCTTGGCTACTTCTTCTCTATAAGAACGAAAGTTCATGGAATTTCCAATGTTATGTCGATTAAACTAGAATGATAAATTTTGTTGTCTTTTACTGTCTTGACTTCTGGAAGGTAAAATAAACAGTTTAGTTTCAATTTGCATAGATTAAAAAAATAGTACTTTTGTTTTGAAGGGGGTTGGAATGACAAGCTGCAAAAAGGCTGCTTCCTTTTATAGTCAATAAACGTCAGTTTTCCTAGTCTGCACATCTAAGAGAAATGTGCTCAGACCCTATACCCTAGAAACTATGAAAATAATAACTGCCAGCCAGCTCCTACACTCTTATCTCTGTCTCTCTGTCTCTGTCTCTCTATGACCCTCTGTGACCCCTCTCCCCCACATTACCTCTTTTCCTCTGGAACCTAAGACACGTCCAGCAATTCTAATGTAGTTCCTGGGTCAGTGGCACAACCTCAGGGCTCTGCAGTGATGTGTAGAATATCCTGTTTATCCTGTTGCACATTCTGCAAAAGAATGTGAACAACTAGCAGAAGATATTTTTGTGTGGAAAGGAGAAATTCGAAGCTACGAATTTCTTTCCCAGTAAAATGAAATAGTATATCAAGGCTAGAGGAAAACAACATTTAAAAAATTGTTTTTAGGGACTGGAGAGATGACTCAGCAGTTAAGAGCACCAGCTATTTTTCCAGAGGACTGGACTTTGATTCCCAGCACCCACATGGCAGCCAACAACTGTTTGCAACTCCAGTTTCTGGGGGTCCACATGCTCTTCTGGCCTCCAAGGACATTGCACGGCATGAGTGCACCTACCTACATGCAAGCAGTACTCTCATACACATAAAATAAAAATAATAAATAAAATTTTTTTAATTATTTTTAAAGTTTTGGTCCTTTAACAGAAGCTATATAGTTCCAGCATATCTGACCATATAAAATATCATTTAAACGCTGATTGGCATGGAAATATGTTATATCAATATTCTGGCAAACAGATGAAAATCACACTGGAAACCCAGGCCAGCAATATGCTATTGCCATGTAGTACAAGGGTGTCTGCTGTCGGCCTAACACAGCCATTCCATGAAATCCAACACTACAACAGTTTAGTGTCTGAGTCATCTGGAGGGCAGCATAAAACACAGATTGCTTGTCCCATCTGAGTGAGTCCAAAAATTTGCATTTCTTAAGTCCCCAAGTGAAACTGAGGTTTCTCGGTCCTAATTGCCTTTGTTGGGATTTCAGAGAATCTATTTGTTCTTTGTTGATGGATAATGCTGATGCCAGTGAATAATGATTATGAATAGTTATCACTAACACTCCAGGTTCTTATCCTATACCAAATAATGCTGAGTCAATAAGCAAACTTCTGTGCAATAAAGAATATCTTAAAATAAACCTTGTGGTCAATACTATTACAGAAATATCTAGTGTATGAGCATATATCCCTGAGCATGGTTCTTGTCCATTTAGAAACTAAGCTGGGTTGGGTCTGGTTAATACTTGGATGGGAGAAAGCCAACTTGTATTACACAAATGCCTACTTTCTAATTTATTTTATGTGGCCAAACTGTCGCAAATCAGGTTTTCCATAAGCAGGTGTATGTAGATGTTATCACTCAAAATTCACAGTGATTTCAGCATCACTAAGAATTTCAAAAACTCAAATTCATTCTCATGTACTTAACTAGTGAATGACAGACATGCATGTGAACTGAGAGATAGTATTTCCTGCTTGCACTTGTACTTACTGAGAGACTGGCCTTGTGTTTGCGGTCATGGCACTAGGCAAGAACGAGCTGAGGATGACCTCTGGTGCAGTTAAAGCAGACTTTTTCTCAGGGAGCTATGGACCAGTGGAGAAGATTGGAGTCGAAAGATGGAGGCCATCCTGGCTGATTCTACTCAGTTACCATCAGCCATGGAGCTGTAGTCATCATCCCACCCATCGCAGAAGGGAACAAAGACAGTATCTTAACAGTTCAGTTATTATACGGCCCACACTTCGTGGGTTCACATAGCTTTATTTAATTTTCTTAGTCTAGCCAGATAATTTTGCTCTATATAATTATTGTCATAAGAAGACAAAGGCTGAATTAATTTATATAAATATTATAAATTATCCTTAAATTACAGGTCTATAATTGCTCCAAAGGAAAGTAATTTGCAGTCATTAAACCACATGTTAGGGTGATCTTGAATCTGGAAGGCTAACTCACATTTGCTAGTCTTGACCAGTTTAGAAATGTATTGCATCACGCTGCTTCATGCCCCCTGCTTCCCTTGCATCTTCTTCCTCTTCTACCTTGGCCTTGAACCTCCCAAATAAAACATCAGCATTTTTTATAGTTTTTTTAAATTTTTTATGTGTATGAGTGTTTTGCCTACATGCATATAAATAAGTTCAGCACGTGCATCCAATGCCCACTGAGACAAGAAGAGAGAGTCAGATCCCTGGTAGAGTTAAGGATGGGTGTTAGCCACTGTGTGGGTGCTGGGAACTGAACCCAGGTCCTCTGCAAGAGTAGTAAGTACTCTTAACAACTGAACCATCTCTCCAGCTGCAACATCAACATTTTTTAATCAGTGTGTATAAGGTGACAAATAAATGAGTTCAAATCAATTGGATACTACTTTACCACATATAGGACATTATCTTTTATATTATATGAGACACAAAGCAAGATGTCGTTCTGTTAAACATATCCTTAATTATCTTATAATCTAGGAATTAGAAAACACAAATCCATAGTTATTTATAATAAATCAGACTATATTTTTTTATTGCAAAGAAAGCCTCTGTTAATTATACAGAGTTTTAAACCTGGACATACAAAGGAGTCTCACTGGATGCTTATACGCTTGGCAGCTAACCACACCATTGCCAACACTGACTCAACTTTGGTGTTGCTGGCATTTTATCTGCAGGTGCTGTGGAAAGAGTGAAGAAGATTCGAGACTATGCTTTTGTGCATTTCAGTAACCGAGAAGATGCAGTTGAAGCTATGAAAGCTTTAAATGGAAAGGTAATGTAACAGGAAAAAATGACATGACAGGACAGTTACACATATGAAGTCACAGTGCTTGTATCAGCATGCACAAGACTTGCACAAGTCCAGGCAGAAAAAAAAAAAAAAGACAGAATTAATGGGGGAAGTGGACAAGAAGCTCCACCCTATCTGAGGAACTATTGTTGGAAGCAGGAGACTCAGTTTGTTTAAGGGTGGGATGCCTGGTAGATTGACCAGGCTTCAAGGGATACACCCATACCCAAGAGCATTTGGGGAATGCAGTTAGACTCAATAGCCCTTTAAAAACTAATAGAGGACATGAAATGGGGGTAGATCTGAGAGGAGATGGGGGGGTTCTGAATATGATTCAAATACACTAAATGATATTCTCAAAGAATTGATAAAAAGCATTGTTTTTAAAATATGTTCAGATTTTGTCCAAACTTGTTATGGACACGCTATTCCAGAGAGAAATCCTTGAGTCCATCTTCCCCAGCTTTCCCCATCTCTGGCAGGCCGCCATCCTTTAAGGCGTGCAAAGAAGTGATAGAAAGGAAATAGAGAAGAGAGATGGCTAACATGTCTAGCCCTAACTTTTCCTGATTTGGACAAGTTACTAAGCCCTCAATTTTCTCAGGAAGAAGGGATTAAAATATTTTCATTTTTTCCCCAATTCCTATTTCTTGTTACTACACTTTGTAGTGCAGTGTTTTAAAAACAGCTGGTCAGAAAAATACCAAAAAAAAAACCAACCTGTCATTCTTCCCTTGGTGCTTGATCTTCCAAATATGGAGACTTAGAATCCTTTCTAGATATGGGGTCCAGGGGAACATCAACTTCATTATTCTTATTGTTGATTTGTCTGTACAAACCTATTAGTATTTATATTATTCCAGTAATCACTAGGAACCTTCTACAGACCATTCTTCTGCTAATAATATCTAGGATGCAAAAGTAATCAACATAAAGATGGTTGTCAAGAGCTGGAGCTCCACAAATACCCATGCAAAGTACGGTCAGCTAAGTATCATTACAAGAGATAAGTGTAATTAGAAGTGATTTCAAAGTAGAGAGCTCGGTGGAAGAAGTGAGGCATTGACAACCAGAAAATCTTCATAGAAACAAGAAGATAATATGCAAAAGAAACTATGAAAATTGGGCATACTTTCAAACAGCAAATAATGATTGGAAGGTTCAATATTAAAGCAGAATTAGGGAAGATCAAGGGAAAATTGGAGAACAGCAAATTTTGTTAGAACAAAATACACACCAAAGTGTTTACCATTGAGACTTGGATCAGTCAGCGTTCCAGTATACAACAGATGGCAAAGGAATTAATTACAGAAATGTAAATGAAGAAGAAGGGAGTCAAAATACAGTTCCAGAAGCTGGAGCTCAGGATATTTTAGAGGCAAAGGCACAAGGGGAGAAGCTGGAGGAGGAGTAGAACCTGAAATGGGATAGAAAGGGGAGAGCAGTCTGTTTGAACGAAGCAGTGATCTAGAATCATTCAACCCTAAACATCCTGGATCTCATCTGAAAGGTCTTTGGTCAAGTGATGCAGTGAGTACAGGAGACCTCCAGAGAGGGAGTCAGGATAATACATGGTGTCTCTCTCCCTGCTCTCCTACCAGGGTTCCACACTGACTAACTCCAAAGACAATGCAGATGGCCCAGGATCCCTGAAGAAGAGCTTAGAGTAGTAGCCAGAAGAGAGTTCTGGGTAGACATCGATGGGGTCTGGCTCTACAGGACAATGCGAAGGCTTCCCAGCCAGGTGCCTCAGACACAGGAGTCTGGAGCTTATGTAGTCTGAGGAGACTTCAAAGGAGTCTGGGGAGAAAGCACTGACTTCAAAGTACAAAAAGAAAACTGGAAAGTAAAAACTAATTCATGTTTAAATAGGCACTATGACATAAAACATTATTTCTTTGTTGATTATTACATTTATAATGATAAAAATGTTATTACTTTGTGGGGCTGGAGAGATGTCTCAGCAGTTAAGCGCACCGGCTGTTCTTGCAGAAGACCCAGATTCGAATCCTAGCACCCACATGGGGGCTAACAACCATCTGTAACTCCAGTTCCAGGGAATCTGACACCGTCTTCTGTGCTCAGTAGACACTGCATGACATGTGTGCACTTATACACATGCAGGCATAGCATTCACATACATAAAATAAAAATAAAATTTAAGAAATTTTAGTACTTTGAAAGCAATTTGCAAGTTAGCTTTTCTCTGTAAGCATTCCTGAGACTACACAATGATTTCTGGGAAGGCTCAGCTATCGTAAATTAAAGGGTAAGTAATTACATTGGAATAATTACAGTGGAAAGGTATTTATTAACAGTTTTCTAAGGAAGGAGCACTTTATTTCGGCTCCTGGTTTAAGAAGGGATAGATATAGCCCATCATGGTGGGGAAGGCGTGATGACAGGATCTTGAGGTGCCTGCCAGGATCATGAGGTAGCTGGTCACTTTGCATCCACAATCAGAAAGCTCAGTCATTCCTATTTTTTTACACCTAGATATTTTATATTCTACAACAGTGTTTATCAGTATGTAGCTAAATCTGTGTAATATTATTAGTAAATACACTAAATCTGTTTAAGGGTAATGTAATATAATAAAATAAGATTTCCTAGGCTTCTTAGTATACCTATGAATATTCATGCTTAATTTATAAATAAAGTGAGATTTTAAAGGTTTATAGTAAGGTAATAATCACAGTTACAGTTTAGAGGGGCTAGCAAGATACACACACACACACACACACACACACACATACACAATAAATAAAATACAATTCAGAGATGTTAACCTAGTAAAAATTGACTTTTATTGCATGGAGAGAGAAATGTAAAGGAAACAACTATGAAGCTGTTGTTGTCAATGATATGGTGGCAAGGTTGAGACAGGGTCTTATGTAGCCTGGGCTGTCTTGTACTCTATGTAGCTGAGGCTAGCCTTGAACTTTTGATCCTTAGAATCATAAGCACCCACTACCACACTCCAGTTGATTGACTGATTGATTGATTGATTGATTGATTGATTGATTGATTGATTGATTTCCTTTTTTTCTTTTCTTGGTAGTGCCATGATTTGGAACATTTTTAGGTGGTGCCTGATCCAATAGTTCTCAGTACTGCTCTCACACATGCCCAGTACCTTCCATCCCTGCTCATTGGCTCTCAACTTCTCAGCAAATGGAAAGTTCGCTTCACAAAGAAGCACCTGAGACAACATGCAATAGGCTCTCAGCCTCCTTTTTCTTTAGTAGAAACCACCTTAGCCTCGCTCTTCTGGTCCAGTTATATATTACGTACCTGCTCTAACAAGCACATGTAACTGTCTGCCAGTTGCAAAGATCTCACTGGGCTGCCCCTGGCATGGTGTTAATAACCGTAAGCTATCTGTATTGGTTTCTCTCACCTTCATTTTACTGTGCTGTGCAGTTTATGTTACACCCATAATGATCTAAAATTTCTTATATAACTATGTAATTTTAAACACATGTAACACATAATAGAAAATATTTCATAATTTTATGTTTCAGTGATTGTATCTCTGTTATAAATTCATAACTAATATATCAGTGGACAGTGGCCAATATGTCATTTTCAAACCTGTTGGCATCTTGTGTTACTTACCAACAAAATGACTCAGAGAATATTCAGCTGATATATAAGCATGAACGTATAAGAGAGACGATATAGAGAACTGGAAGTCAGTAAACATGCAGCAACTCATACAAGTGTTATTGATACTGAGTTGCCTGAATACCTTCTCAAATTGACTTTTCCTTTCTCTTCATAACAGGTGTTAGATGGGTCTCCAATTGAAGTGACCTTAGCCAAACCAGTGGACAAGGACAGTTACGTTAGGTATACAAGGGGCACAGGCGGAAGAAGCACCATGCTGCAAGGAGAGTACACTTACTCTTTGGGCCATGTTTATGATCCCACCACCACCTATCTTGGAGCTCCTGTCTTCTATACCCCCCAAGCCTATGCAGCGATTCCAAGTCTTCATTTCCCAGCCAACAAAGGACATCTCAGCAACAGGGCCCTTATCCGAGCTCCTTCTGTCAGAGGTAATACCAGTCAGCTCTGGTCTTACAGTGACACCAAGATTTCAAATGATTTATAGTTCACTAGTGTTAGACAAAATGGATGTGTCTACTGGGACAAAAGAACTAGAAAATTATTCATTAAAAAAATCAAAATGTTATATCAATATTTCTCATCTTACTGGAATCTGCTTTTTCACATTACAACTGGTTATTGAAAAAATTTAGTCATTGTATAGATGAGCCTAGTATACAAATTTGATTCTTTTGGGGACCTGTAAAATTTCACAAACTACAACCTAGCTCCAAAACTCTTGTTTATTTCTCATTATTAGACCACCATCTTGCCGTAATATGTGGCTGATTACAGAACTTTCACTGGATAGTATGGTTTGACAGAAACTATCTCAAACCGCAAAAAACATTTCAGTCACATATGCATTTCATGGTGACTTGATGGAGGGATCGTCTTTATATGAAAATCACAAATTATCATTAATTTGGTCCAACGGGTAGACAAGGTATTCTCTTCTGAATTCTCCCTCCAATATGTGAGCTAAGCCATTTGTTGCTGCTGTTGTTGTTGTTGTTGTTGTGCTTGTTTGTTTGATACAGGGGATGGCCTTGAACTCAGAACCTCCTGTCTCTGCATCCTAAGTGCTGAGTTTACAGGTCTGTACATATCTGTCTATGTGTGACACCTTTGAAAAGCCAAATAGTAAGAAAATCAACATTTCTCCAGCATACAGGAAACTAAAGAAATTCCAAGTAGGTAAAGGAACTCAGTCTGACTACCAGACAACAAATCTTTTGTGTCTAAATTCCAAGTAGGTAAAGGAACTCAGTCTGACTACCAGACAACAAATCTTTTGTGTCTAAATTCTACACAAATTCTCCATTTGAGCAGTTTTCTGAATTCAGTAAGTAACAAGCAATATAGATCTCATTAGTTCTAAGAAACTAGTTTGTCTCTGCCTTGTAATTTTCTGTGTGGCTGTTCTCAGATATGGAGAAAGTCATCAGAAGCCGAATCCCGTTTTCCCCTTCTGACAGCCATCAGGGCAATATCAACAGATGATGTATAAATTCTCTTGAGTTTGACATAGAAGAAAGGAGGCACACCTAGATTACTATGGAACTGTTACCTGTGTTTTATTATTTTTCAGGAAAACTGAACTGAGCATCTTAGGACCTTTTCAACAGTCTAAAAGTTCTATAAGTCATCATAATATAATCACCCAAAAATTATAATTGTAATGTAAAAGAAATCAAGATTTTATTCAGAATAAGTTCAATAGATGATAACAAATTGTGTCACTGAAACACGATGCATATATATAAACCATATCATTAACTAATCTATATTCTTCTATAAAGTTATCAACCAGTTGTGATGTAGAAAAAACAAACTCCATTCCAAGAGAAAATAATACATAGCATTAACAGAAAAGTAATCAATGAATAATATTCATAGATGAAGAGTAATCAATTTAATGGTTTATCCTTTTGAACCATCAATAGGAAATCAAAGCAACAATATAGTAAAAACAAAATCAAAAGGGATCTATGTATGAAACTCAATGGAAATTTAAGCCTCACAGTGACAGGCCATAGGAGAAAAGATGGTGAACTTTAAAAAGATGCTTTCTAAAAGTTTTTCTAATGAGTCACTGGTGGGTGGAATCACTGAATTCATTTCTTACTTGCTGACAGAAACAGTGACATTCACATAACAATCTCTATGCTACGACTGATTCCAATTCAAGAGGTCATCTTATGTTGGGATATTTTAATAAGCACATACTGAACCTTGCATAATCTGTAGAAAAATGTTAACAGGAGGTTAATTGAAGATAGAACTTGAAACTTTTCTCTCTCACCCAAATTTCTAATTACTTGTGTACTTATCAATAGCCTTGAAAATACCACCTTCTTCCAAAGATAGCTTTTAAGAGAGAGAAAGAAAGACCATGATAAGCCTTACCTTATGTTGAGTTTCATTACATTAGACTCCAAGAGTTTTCTGTCCGTCCTCAGGGCAGTAATCTGTGACTTGGGCTAACTTTTCCATTACAGTAAGATTCAGGGTGATTTTCTGGTGGTTTGATTCAGTTTAATGCCTTCTTACATTCCTAGAAATTTACATGAATGTACCTGTAGGGGCTGCGGGAGTGAGAGGACTGGGCGGCCGTGGATATTTGGCATACACAGGCCTGGGTCGAGGATACCAGGTCAAAGGAGACAAGAGAGAAGACAAACTCTATGACCTTTTACCTGGGATGGAACTCACCCCAATGAATCCTGTCACTTTAAAACCCCAAGGAATTAAACTTGCTCCCCAGGTAGGTAATATCATTCTAGAGACAGTTTAAGTTGGACCAGTGACCACCATTCAAATGGCTTGAGTTGATCCTTACTGAGACTACTGTTTTGTTTCCTTTACTAGATAAAGGGGTGACCAGCAAAATGTGCTCAGAGGGACTGCTGAGACTAAGTGCCCCTACTGCTCCATAGAATCAGCTTCTTCTTCTTTTAAATCATAATTCACTTAAATGCAAAAAATCGGAGAGCTATTAAGAAGTATTGATCAATACTTTAAATAAAAATCAAATGAAACAAAAACCCTAGTTCAGAATCAATGACTGTTAAAGATTTTTCAACAAACAAAGCACATTCACAGCAGGAAACCCTAAGGAGACTGTTTGGGACACTTTTTTCTTGGAAACTGTATTTAAGAGAAAACTCCACCATGAGCTCTAGGTAAACATCAGCTGTGAGATGCCATTAGTCACATCAAGCCTCCTTCAGTGTTCATAATCAGGCAGTGGCGTGATGGTAACTGCATGTTGCTTCTATTGCACAGTTCTAAGTTGCAGGTTTCTGACTGTAGCTGTGGTACTTTACTAGTGAAACCTAAAATTGTAAAGGTTGCTCCAATAGGGAAACTAAATACTATGTTTGAAAACTAAAATGAAGCAGACTCAATCCTTGTGAACCTGATGGTTGCCGTGTAAGTGTGCAGGTGTGTTCCTTCCTCTGAAGCCACATTGGCTGGATAGCTAGAGGTCCTTAGGATTTCAACCAAGGGGAAAGCATGGTATCTAAAAGCTTGATGCAAGAATTTGAGTGTGCATGTGTACAAGGGTAAGGGTTATTAATGGTTTTTTATATGCATCTAATGTTTTTGCAATTAATGTTTCTGTAATCAGAAAGAACAGATAAACAAAAATGTCTATTACAGTGGTTAACAACAACCATTTATTTAAAAAATAACACTTATTCGGCTTC